CTCTGTCAATCAAGTTATGGTTTAAGCACTAAATCCCCCTAGGAAATGTCTAGATCCTTTACTTAAAAGTTTGGCACAACCTTAGGAAACACACACAGTGGATTTAAATTAAGTTGGCTGATTAGACAATTTATCAGGACTTGGCCTGTACACAAAGTGCTTGTTTCTCATCTCCCTCACTCCACTGTTGTGTCACATGCTTGTGCAAGACAAATTACACCTTTATTACTCATATAAAAAGATAACTATCATTCGTGTTGTTAGTAACCCCTGTTCTCAGATGGCAATGAGCTGCCCATCAATTAAACAAAGCCTCATTTGGCATGTGCATGTTTGGGTTTTGAAGTCACAAAGTTAATATGGCAAGCATTTGACACGAGAGTAGCTGCAAACCTATTATTCTGAAACCACTTGTGCACAAACAAGTGGTTCTCTTCAGGTCTGAAAAGTGAAGCCACTGCCAAAGTGCTTTACCTTTGCATTCTCTCTATTAGCCAGAAGGGTGTGACTCCAAATGTTGTAGAAAGCAATTGTATTGTATACAAGTCTATGAAGAAATGATCCTACTTCTCCACTTGGCTAGTTTCAGATCTTCTTCAGTGTAGCATGATGTTCACTTAGTGATTGACAGGTTGCTACAATAGTGTTGTTTGATGTGGGTATGCTCTGTGTTTTTGTCTAAACAGTTGTAACATTTTGTTTCCATACAAATGTTTCGTTCAGGATACGGTTGTACCCAGCTCCATTCTTATGTCACTTCTTGCTCCAAAAAACAAGATGGTGAAATCAAAGATGCCACGTCTTATGCCCATATCAGCCCATGTCAACTAGATTCCTTTCACACCATTTACATTTTCACTATGGAGAGGAGATGCAGTAGCGTCTGAGGACCTTGGTAAAAGTGAGAACAACAATGAACTTAGTGCTTCAGCAGCTAGCATCAGATCAGCCTACACCCCTGTTCCCACTGGCTGCTTGCTGCTCTGAGACACTGCTACTGAAAAACTTGAAAATGTTTAGAGTTGAGATACCAACCATGTCTATTTATACCATTCCCCAACCAGGTAATACATTGCTCAAACCAGCGTCTCATTTGTTGCTTTGAAGGAAGGTCCTCTATACTGTATATTACATGGGTTGATTTCGACTTGAACAGCATTAGTAACATAGCTAGCTTTGTTACATATTACAATTTGCGCTGACTGTCATTGCTATGTATTAATGTTTCTTTTCCTATATTTCACCCATATTACCCATATTTTTACTCAACCTAGACAGGGTGCACTAAAGAGTGGAAGCATATTATCCTGAAACCCTCCACATTGCCCTGTATACATTACATTTAATAAGAAATAAAGTGTTTTCTATAAATATATTTTTGTATGCACATTTTATTATAGTTTTTTTGATGTGCTGTGAAGCTGTCAACACTGTTGCTGTCCATGGCGCTGAAATGTGAATGCAATGAGACAGTAGTGTGTTGGGTATGCACAGTGTGGTTTTGCTCTATGTGGCTGTTTATTAGTTTGGTCACAATGCCCTTGATAAAAGAGAACTCTGGTAATTCCTCCTTGTTCAACAGCCCCTAAGCTTGCCAATACATCTTTTTAAAACCTTTATGTGCGACCCTCTGTGGAATTACATTAATTTCCCAGTTAATCACACCTATGCAGTCTGATACTAAACCATTGAAAACATATGCTGTATCTTTCTTGCTCGTCTTACAACACTGCAGGTATACACTGTAGTCAATGTGAGGCTTGCCTATCACATTTGCTTTGGCTCAGGCTGTGTGAAGGGCGCCCCTTAGTGTAAGTCTTGGAAATTAATTTTGAACCTGGTTGTGGAATTTAAAATCTTTAGAGCCAGTTCATTTGGAACTGTTTTCTACACGTCTTAGTGACTTTTAATCTACTAATCTGCCTGAGCGAAATCAGGTCGGCTGAATCGGTGATCTCCTTAAAGCCCCTTCTAAAAACACGCTTCCATTGGAGAGCCTATCCTGATTTTACTTAATGTGTAATCTCCTTTAAATTGTATTTTAGTTTTTGAATAACATGGTTTCCTATTCTTACATCTTCTAAACGATAGATTTTCAACAACTTTAATCAGTTTTCTTAAAACATTTATCACTGATTTAATTGAGCTTATATACCAATAATAAAAGTACTATATAATATAATAATAATAATAATAATAATAATAATAATATACATATGTCTGTTTTTAAGCCCTTTATTGCAGCCTCTTTGTAGGCTTTGCTTTGCTTTGTGGTCTCTCTAACTTCCTGTTTTTTGTAACATGCTGATTTGTTCCTAGCGTTAATATTCCACTTGCATCTCAATATTTGATTTCTCATTTTAATAAAGCAGCGAGACTTTTCCATTGTTGTCTCATTTAATTCTTTCTCTCACATTCTCTATCAACCCAAATCTATTATTGTGTCATCCAGCCCTCTGCAGAAAGCACTCCTCCTATGTCTGACAATCAATAAGTGGCAATTAATAACCAAGCATACCTAAGTATTTCTCCCTTTCAGTTTCTGCTGAGGGTGTTCATCCCCCGTAGCGACATAGCTCTCATGTCTCTAAAGCATGACTTGACACTTTGAATAGATCATGCTGGTTCTTAGTAAAGACTCTGGTAGTTAACACAGGGTATGGTTGACTTGGACTGCTAACATAAAAACACATACACACAGATTTATGACACTTCCTGTGCATTCACAATTGATATAGCTGTCATAAACTTCATAATAGTTACTCTCAAGTTATCTGTAATATATTCATTTCATTTCAAACCTTTATTTATCCAGGTTGTATCCCATTGAGATCATTGACCTCTTTTTCAAGGGAGACCTGCTCAAGTAGGTTCCACATGAAACATTAAAAACATAAACAGAACAACAAAAGGACATCATACATTAGCATTACAGGGATTACAATTTACATAACTATCCACATGCACAGGTACCAACAGCTTCCGATTGAGTAGCATCCAACCGAGCTTTAAAAACATTGAGTGATATTAAATGTGATGTTCTGGATTTTGGTTTTGGCATCCAGCAATTGATTTCTCGTTAGATGAATGTAATGCATTATTGGGTTACAGCACTATACCATCAAGTTCTAACCATTGTCAACATATTTGCTGCTATCATGTTACATGGGTCCTCTGAGGACATACAGCTCATGTTCAAGATTACACTTACCCACTCTATCATTGTTAGCTGTACAAACATTGTATTTTAATTTTTTATGTGGTCTTTTTATGTACAGCCTTGGTTAGCCAATTAAAAATAAATTATGCTTTTGACCTTTGCTTTCATCAATGAATCAGTGAACACTTAGAGGCAAACCATCTGTGGCCTTTGAAGAAAAATGTATTCTGTAATAAAATGTGTGATAATAAATTTGATACACCAAAGTACAACATGCTGATAAAACCTTAATCTTTAAATATTACACCAAGAACAGGTCAAGTTCATGTTTGAACACAGTTTGGCAATGTTAGAAAGTTATTGAGAATTCCAAACTTGACAGATCAATTTCTCAAACAGTGTTAAAACACTGACATGGTCTTTTAACAACAGCAGTGAGGTAAACAATGAGCTACAACCTAATTTTCATCAAAACAAGTCAATACTCGACAACTTCCATTGGTCTCTGTAACGTCAAAAAGACATAAAAGACCAACACAATATTTAATAACATTCCCTGTCAGACAGGAAAGTGCTACCGAAAAGCACTATTCAACACGAAGGAAAATCATTTTGTAGATTTGTTCCTATATGGTAAATACAATACTTCACGATTATACAGTACATGCAATGCTACCCATTAGTGGTCTTATGTTGCTAAACAACAGTACTGTTAGTGAAGAAATATGTTTTTGAATAATCTTGGTGATCTTTTGTTGTGCAAAATATGTAATAACTTACAGTGTGTGGTACACAAAATCAATTATAGGTCTCATAGTGGTTGTACTACAACATTATACAAATAATATTGATGATTTAACTACACCAGCAAATTAGGAAACGTATTTTGCATAATTTGGCCAGGATTTCTTGTGAGAAACATGCATTTACTAATACAGTGTGGTGCTACCAAAATCCCTTCATACATCAATGGTCTCTTTTAGACCAATAGACCATTCTGTAGGTCTCCTGTCGACACACATTTAACCCTTTAGCCACAGCAACAGAGACACATTTCCTTACAAATGAGAAGGATGTGGAAATACGTCAGAGGACAAGGATCTGTTCTATGATATTTCATATTTTGGAACTATACAGGAACTCACAAACCATGAAGACTGAGGATTAATTAAAAAACAATGGCCACATTTACCAGCTATTAATATAATGTGTGCATGCTCGTTCTTTGCTAACAGGCCTTTATAAGTATACATATACCTCCTGTCTATGGCCCACCCTACCTATTTGAGTACTGATATAGATGTTTATGGAAGTTATATTGCACAAGTTAAACAAAAAAGAGCCTTGAGTCAGCAACGTTCATTGACTGAAGGAACTGAATCTCACAACAATGTTGAAGAAGAAACTAATTACGGATCAGTCACGTCTGGTCGACTCCTGTTATGGTCTAGTGCTTAAAACCTTACTTGGCCTCTGTTATGTGCATACATTATATTTTATTACTACGGTTCCATTCCAACCATACATTTTACTGTATTAAAAAATGTCACTTTACAGTATGTAATTGTATGATAGAAAAAGAAGACAATTACCCTTTAATGATCCCCTAAAATGATCCCCTGAATAAAGGATAGTAAAAAACAGTGATAGGAATAGGAGATATACATAGAAATACAGATATGCACTAACACATTCTATATTTTATAGAGAGGTGCCAAAGCGAAGAGGCTGCCAGGGAGCAGCTACCAGTCCACACTCCGTATTGTGTTGGTCCAATCGGGAATTGAAGCGTTGACCCTTTAGTTCGCAAGCCAGGTCCCTACTGACCTGCAACCCTGAATCAGGGCACACCGTTCCTGGAGGATCTGCAATAGCGGGTCGATGTGTGGAGTGAACAGGGCGAGCCCCTCTTTTCAGCTCCCAGCGAAACATCTGTTTAATATGTTGTGCCCTTATAGAGGAATATAAGATATTAAACTGATAAGAACAGATACTACACTTGATCTAAGCCGAGATAGCTTAACTCTCATGTTTTTATCATGAGCATTTCACTTTGTAAAATGACACATGTAAACACACTTAGGATGGTAACAGTACATTTCATTTCAATGCAGGATTTTGATCTTGGATTCAGTCATTTCTTTCTAAATAGAATCTATAAGTCATTGAGTTAAGGAATCTTTTCAGTCAAATCTAGTCTCACCATTGCTTCAAAATGGCCCTTTTAGCATTCATATAGAATGAACGATCAGGCATATGAGGATCTTTTTGCTAGTAGTACGAGTGATATGATGAATTGCTGTATGTGTGTTATAGGATGTAGGGCTTGTATTACACTACAAACAGAACAGTTTTATAACAGGTGACTGCTCTTTCCACTCAGATGATCCTCTGTTAGCACCTTTGGATGTCCTCTTGATTTATTGTCTAATTTCACATCCTGTTGGGAAATGTGTAGCCATGTATTATTAATAAAGGCCAGTGAGTGTGACAGCTTGGGCATTTCTGTGAAATGGTCCAATGTCCTCCAATATGAGGTCATTCACTCTCAAGAAGTTCTCTTCTCGCAAAATGAAACTTATCGAAAGGCTTGATACCCGAAAGCCCCTCAACAATCTCTGTTACATCCAATAGTTCAGTGCAAGTGCATTTTAAATGGGATCTATAAGCTCAGTTTACGTCTGTTTAACACTGTGCAAAATTAACTTGTAGAGCTGTTAAGATATATTGATTAATTTAACTAATTGACTCATATTTCATTATATATAAAAGATTTAAAGTAAATGTTTTAAACATATTTCATTTCAGCTTCTTAAATGTGAATATTTACAGTTTTTAAATCCCCAATGACAATAAATTGCATATCTTTGAGTTTATGGACAAACATGTTTGCGAGTCATATTGGGCTTGAGAAATACTAATTGACATATTACATCATTTCCTAATATATAAAGACGAAAAACAAATCTATTAAGCTAGAAAATAATACATTCATCAAGAACATGTATAAGTGTTCTGGTTGTGTACTGCTCTATGACAATAAATGAAGTATCTTTAAGTAAATGGCCCAAATAACCATTTGAATATATCATAATAGGTTTAGGAAACACTAATCTACTTTTTTCAGTTTTTTATAGCCAGCTCTTGCAAACTCTGCCAACTTTCTGAAAAAAGTCAGGACTGAAATGTGTGCAGTGAAACATCATTATGCACTCCTCAGTTGACCAGAGTGGCAGTGTGAGGGGACCCTGAGAATGAGACCCCTGTGTCTGTCTTTAGCTCATGTGCCAGTCACCATTAATGCTTGTTGCACCAGCATGGCGTTTCCCTCTGCCTGACACTCACTTGCACTCTCAGTCTACCCTCAATTGCTGTCACTTGTGTCCTAAAGGCTGTCATCTCCACTTTGTGCTCCATTGCCACCATGTCTCCTCCACCGCTCTATTTTCCCCAGTTCACTCAGGCTTGTGGCTGTTTGTCAGTAGAGGCTGATAGCCCAGTTATTTGCTTTAGCTGTCTGCCTCCCTGTTGCTCTGCCACTACATTTTGGGTCCAGTGAGACATTTCATTGTCCATCAGTGCCTCTGCAACAACACGTTTCTCACACATCCTCATCGTTTGGCTGGATTTAGTGAGTGTAATCTTGAAACATGTATAAAGGCATGCCTGTAACCAATGTGTTTTCTGTGATGTAAATAAAAGCAATCAATCTCAATCCATTTTTGATTGAGATAAAAGCCCCTTAATGTGCTCCATAATTTGAAGTGATATCTGTCAAGAATGCAAGGCAGAAACAAACCTGTAGAGGTCAGCATCTGTCTAATCTTTGTCTAATGGGGTATGGATATTAGACAGCCTTCCTCTTAAACATCATTTTCACTTGGAAGATATTTCACAATCATAACCATGCAAATTGCATTTACAAAAATAGCAATCTGTCAACAAAAATTAAAGATAAATCATTCTCTTTGGTTGTTTAATTCAAATGTATTTTCTTAGATTGCTAGATTGCTTATTCCATTTGCAAGACACCATTTTATAAATTATCGGGTGGGAAAAAAACAGCAATTAGCTGATCCAGTTTTTTATACTGAGTATCCACCAAGGATGAAAACTCCTCTTCTTTCACAGCATGAGTCGATACATGCAAGGATTATTCTGAAAATAACGTTGTTGCAGCATATCAAACTGTTATGCTTATGATTCAGCAATCTTGTTTCGGGTTACTGTTTGAAATAAGCAATAAGTGTCTCTTTGACACAGAATAATAACGCTGACTTATGAGTATAATGATATTTAATTATCATACTTGGTGGAAACAAATAAATCACACACCATATGATGACTGTGTTAGAAAGATATTCATGAATCTGAAAAAACAAGTTGGAATATTGTTGTGTTTTCAGCAGCTGCATGCCAAAATATTTCATATTTACACGTCAGCTCTTGTTATTGTCCGTGTCATACCAGTGCCATTTTCCAGCACAGTGATTCAAACGCTTGACAACTGCTAGGCAACACCCGTCAAAACTAAACCCCCCCTGGCATTTGGTGTTTCTCTGTTAAACATTTCTGAAAAGTCATTAAAATGTGTCTATATTACTTAATTCTCAATATTTTTTCTATTTTAAAGCAGATATATGAGTTCTAATCTAACCAATTACAAATAGCTGAAATATATCAACGTCAAAACATGCCAAAATGTATTTATATCAAAGTTCAATGCCTCACAATTTCCTGTGACATGGAAATTAATAATGGCATAGCTTTATGCCTGGATAAACATTACATCACCTAATCTCTTTCAGCATTCCCGTAATAAACATGTTTTTCATTGGAAAGGTCATGGAAAAGCGTCGCTGCAGATCTATTCGGATGTATTGTGCTTCAGTGTCACGTTCAGGGGCCCTCCATCGTGGCTCTGTGTACCATAGTTGCAATATCAGTCACCCTCTAGTTTCCAGCGTTGTACACCTACAGCCTGCTTCTGCTACCAGAAATCAAAACAACAACCTTTCAGTCATCACACATCATGCCTGCCTCTGGGCCAAGCCGCTGCCCCGGGAGACTTTTCATTGCCACTTGTCAGCAGGACATTGGGTTTTGAAGTGTTGGTAAATAAAACTATGAACTCCTCGACCACTGCTTAAAAAAAGTGCATGGCTATTGCATGAACTTCCAGTGGAAGCTGACTCAAGGTTTATTTTCTCTTTTAAATGAATAAAATAGTAAAAACAACTGCCCAGGACTTTCACAAACTCTGCTGGGCTAGAATGTTCATTTCTATGAAGGCACTGTTAATATTGATGTACAGATTGTATACTGAGGAGGCAGCTAGCTTAACAGTGATTCACCTATGGAATCTACAACGATTCCTTCCAGACTTTTCTGTCAACAACCCCTCTACGATCACTGAAGTGTTACAGGAAAAGTTTTGTTTAATGCTTTTTGTTTAATTTAGTTTTTACAGCAATAGTGATATTGTTCCTCTTTGCAACTTAAAGAGGCGCTATAATGATTTTTTGGGTTCCCCTTTTCCTGTAGTGTGTTATAGAGTTTTGTGTAAGTAAATGGTCCGCAAAGCTAAAATCCCAAAGTTCCCTCCAGAGGGAGTTTCTCTCCCCCCCTGTATGAAACAACCCGATAGGAATCCTGTCACATAGTGACATCACTATGTAACAGTCGCGGTTGGCTAGCACTCCAACACATTATACGTGATCATTTCCGACACATCTCTAAGCGGTTGACCAATTAAAGAAAACAGAGCCGGCCAGCTAACCAATCAGAGCAGACTGGGCTCTGGTTTCAGACAGAGGGTGAAAAGAGGTGCTGCAGCACAGGCAGTATGAGAAAAATAAAGAGCTTTCTGAACATTAACGCATGGAGACATGCAAAAACAGCAGAGGCAAAAAATACAAATGTAAACCTGAAAATCAGTAATAAATGTCTTGTCCTAAATTCTGTACGTGCAAGTTAATGAAATTGTCCCTGTCCCTATAACTCAAAATGTAGAGATTTAGCAATACATTCATATCAATATTAATATCAATCACAACATGCTGCAAGCTGAGAGTGATAGCAAATACAACTAGTGACAAGCACGCTGGGAAGTAAAAAACAAACTGCTAAAATGGATGAAGAACATACTAATAAACTATGTCCATCCATCCATGTATGTAGGCTGTTCAATCATCCAGTTTAAAGTCTCTAAAGACACATTTGTTGCTTTCAACCTATATGATTAAGATGTATTATGATGTAAATATTGATTGCACATTGTATCGCCTGTTGAATAATGACACGGTTTAGATGAATTCCCTGTGAGCATTCCTTTCTCTGTATCCGTCTGCCTCATGGTCGCATTGTTCCGGGAAAATAAAGGCTCGATTTAAGGCACACAAAGGAAGAAGATAGCGTTTCAGTTGCGCCCATACTGTAAATGAAAATAATAAAACATAGCAAACTCTTTATTGCTCCCATATTGTCAACAGCAGCACCAACACACACCTTCCTTTTCCGTTTGACAGAAAAACAAATACACTGCTTCTCTTCTTACCAGAGAGCATTTAGCTAAAAAGCAGCTCAACACAACAGTTTCAAGTAGCTTTCCCCAGGTGAACAGACAGAGTAATGCTAACTGTGAAAGCTCTCAATGGCAAAAGAGACCCATTGCTTATTAATACTTTTACTTTGCCTTTAATATAGCCCTTAGGTTTCTAGTTCTTGGAAATGTTGACTATAGTTCTTGCTTTAGACCAAAGCCAGGCTGCGAGCATTAGCTGGAAAATATAAACAAGTACACCAATGTTATTTCTTATATGAAAATTGAAACTGTAAGAAAGTAAGTTATCAGTTATTAGTAATCTTGGTTTTGCAGTTCTCTTAAACAAAAGCAATGTCCTGTCTTGTTGGTAGCCCAGTGTTCTCAAAATTGTCAAGGGGGAAAGGTTGTATAATGCGACTTTAACAAAGATTCAAATGAACACTTTGGAACATATCGGGTGGTGCCAAAGAAGTAATAC